CACCAGTTACACCTCTGCACCCCCGAGACATTGCCCCAGCCACCAGTCACCTTTGCACTCCAGTTTGTGGAAAAGTTTTCAGGGCCACCTTTGGCAGTTACTTTGGGGACACTCCGGTCATACTTCGTGGAAGGAACTGAAGAGAAGGTTTATTTTGTCCCATGGCTTCAGACCATCACGATGGGTGAGGCACGGCCATGTGGCTCTGTCTATGGCGTGAGGATGTTCATCCAAGAGTTGACCAGGAGGCAGCAAGAGACTGGAACAAGAGGGTGTCTGACCTTCAAAGGCCGAGGAGGAGAGATACAGATGAATCAGCAAAACGCCTGCCCTGCAAGCATGAGACCCTGATGCCAAGAATCCACGTCAAATACAGCCCAGCACTGTGGCACGTGCCTGTACTGGGGAGCAGACAGGCAGAGCCCTGGCCTGGCTGGATGACCAGCCTGATACACTGGTGACAGCTAGGACAATGAGAGACAGACTCCAAAAGTCAGTTGGGGGCTGTGGAGGTGGCTCGGCAGTTAAGAGCACCAGCAGCTCTTCCAGAGGATCCAAGTTTGATTCCCAGCAACAACAAGGTGCCTCCCAACCATCCATAATCCCAATTCCAGAGGATCCAATGCCCTCTTATGGTCTTTAAGAGCACTGCATGCCCAGGGTGCACAGACATATGTGCAGGTGAAACATCCATACACATAAAATAAAAAATGAGTAAATCTTAAAAAAAGTGAACAAGTGAATGAATGGCACCCAAGGATAGCCCCCCCTCTCTCTCTCTCTCTCTCACACACACACACACACACACACACACACACACACACGATTCAATGGCCAGCAGGGTAGCTCAGCAGGTAAAGGCGCTTGCTGCCGTGTAAGCTCTATCCCTGGGCCCACATGGTAACAGGAAAGAACCAGCTCCCGCCAATTATCCTCTGACCTCAGTCACACTGTGGCACACACCCGCCCCCAAAATAAATGCCGATAGAAATTTAAAATAAGTGAGTGAAGAGAAGCAAAGTGTGAATTAGTCCAGAGCCGTACTTTGAGAATCTAGTCCACACCACAAGTAGACTCTCCTCTGGCCCTTGCTGTCATGCAGGGTCCTGGGCCCACAGTAGGCGACTGGGAATCTAGGTAAACTGGTCTGGGAATCGCACTTAAAAATGATGCTTCTGGTTTAGGAGTTAAAACCCAAGAGTCAGCCAGGCATGATAGTGAAAGTCGTAACCTCAACACCCGGGGCAGAGGCAGGAGGCTCACTAACTGCTCAAGGCCCACCTGATCTGAGTAGTACACCCGAGGCCAGCCATAGGAATGCCTGCCCCAAAACAGCAGCAGGGCTCAGAGACAGCTCATCTGGAGAGAGCACCTGCTGTTCTTGCAGATGACCCGGTGGCACCTAATGGGTTGTGACCAGGAATCTGATGCCCTCTTTTGGCCTCCTCTGGTATTGCACTCACATGGACAACCCACCATCATCACCACCAATGCACACACTTTAAAAAGCTCTCCCAGACAATGACAACTACCAAGAATGAAGGGTCGCAAGCCGGGGTAGCTTAGTGATAGGGCACTTACCCATCATACAAGAGCCTTGGGGTCTGACCCTGGGCACCACAGAACAAACAGACAAATGAAAGAAGGGTTCTAGATAAGTTCCCATTTCAAATGTTCTGACCTCTAGTTAGGATTAACGTGTGCATAGCTCTTGTTCATGCCTGAAGAATTGCATGTATGAAGTCTGGCATGATTCCTTCTTCCCCCAGATCCCTGCACCTGAGGGAGACACTCTATGCCAACATTGAGAACCGCTGGGGGAAAGGAGAGAGGACGTCTTACACAGGAACTGGAAGAACCCAGACTCTTCTAGAAGGAGTGGAATGGAATCACCACACCGTGCTCCTGGGAGCGGGAACACATGCAGGGGCTCTGGTGGGGAAACCAGACATCAGGATTCCTCCAGGGCCCACTCCACTCAGCAGCATCGTCTAAATGTCATCCCGGATGTCCCCAGTCCCATCTCCCCAAGGCAGCAGCCCCGTGGTTCCCTATAATTGGTCTCCACAGGCTTGGGCCATTTGAAGGAGGTTCCTCAGGGCTCAGACAAGAAGGGAAATATCTTCAAACTATAGCATTTGAGCCATATATTTGTAATAAAAAAGCTTTAATATATTTCATATTTTATTGGACTCTACAAATGTTCATCATAGAATTATTTATTTTGAATGGCTTTGATATATTGTGGATTTGTAAATATACAGTTCTCCCAGTTTTGTGATGGGTGTTATAACTTTCATATGTGTAAATAGTCTCACTCTAAGAGAAGATTTGGTTTTTATATATTCATTATGTATTGTTTTGAGACAGAGCCTCATTATATAGCCCTGCCTGGCCCTGAACTTGCTTCATTGATCGGGTTGGCTTCAGACTTGCAGAGATCTCCTGCCTCTGCCTCCCCAGTGCTGGGATTAAAGATGTGCGCCTCCATACTTTATGGGTTTTTAGATTCTACTTATAGATACTTGTTTCATGTAAATATAAATTCTTGTTTGAAATTTACTCTTTATTATTGACCTATGAGCAAGTGATAACTTATTTAACTTCCTTTGATCTAAAGATGATGTGTATTTTGAAAAAACACATATTTTAGTAAATATTCTTTTGTCAGTAGCCTAGTCTTTCATCTTTTTATAGAGTCTGAATTATTTGTTTATTCATTTTTTCCTTTTGCTTTTATGTGTATGTCTGTTTTGCCTGCATGAATGTCTGTGCATTGCATGCACACAGTGCCCATATAGTCTAGGACAGGAAATTGGATGCCCTGGAACCAGAGTTACAGACAGCTGTGAGCCACCAAGTGGATCCTGGGAATTGAACCTTGGCCCTCTGGAAGAGCAGCCATTGCTCTGAACTGCTGACCTACCTCTCCAGCCCCTTATTTATTTGTTCAAATAGTATCTTCTTCAGGCATTGTATTTTAATTTTTGCATATATGTATACATATACATATATATAGTGTGTGTTTATGATGCATGCATATGCCTCTGCACTCGTGTGTGTGTTTATGATTCATGCATATGCCTCTGCACTCATGTGTGTGTGTATGGTGCATGCATACGCCTCTGTGCTCGTATGTGTGATGCATGAATATGCCTCTGCACTCATGTGTGTAATACATGAATATGCCTCTGCAATCATTTGTGTGTGATGCATGCACATGCCTCTGCACTTATGTGAAGGTCAGAGGACAGTTTTTGGGGGGTACAGGAGTTGGTTTCCTTCTCCCAGCGTGTGAGTCCTAGGGATCAAACTCAGGTTGTCAGGCTGGTGGCAAGTGCCCTTATTCAATAAGCTTTCCCATGTTATGTCTTTATTTGTTTGTTTTAAGAAACCACGCAGCATTTTCTGTAAGGGACTACAGTAAGGATGAACCATCTCCTGTTCACAAGCCTTCTAATCCTGTCAGTCTGAATTCTTTGCTGCTCAATGCTGTTTAGCAGAATTCTGCTCATCTGACCGATTTTTTAACTCTTAAAAAAAGAATCCTGAGGTCACCTATTTATTTACTTCTCTATCTCTATCTATCTATCTATCTATCTATCTATCTATCTATCTATCTATCT